TCTGGCGCTGGCCAAGTGCTGTCGTCTGGTGCTGGCCCAGGGCTGTTGTCTGGTGCTGACCCAATGCTGGACAAGTGCTGTTGTCTGGTGCGGACCAAGTGCTGTTGTCTGGTGCTGGCCAAGTGCTGGCCAAGTGCTGTTGTCTGGTGCGGACCAAGTGCTGTTGTCTGGTGCTGGCCAAGTGCTGTTGTCTGGTGCTGGCCAAGTGCTGTTGTCTGGTGCTGGCCAAGTGCTGTTGTCTGGTGCTGGCCAAGTGCTGTTGTCTGGTGCTGGCCAAGTGCTGTTGTCTGGATGCTGGCCAAGTGCTGTTGTCTGGTGCTGCCAAGTGCTGTTGTCTGGTGCTGCTGCCAAGTGCTGTTGTCTGGTGCTGCCAAGTGCTGTTGCCTGGCGCTGCTGCCTGGCACTGCTGCCTGGCACTGCTGCCTGGCGCTGTTGCCTGGCACTGCTGCCTGGTGCTGTTGCCTGGCACTGCTGCCTGGCGCTGTTGCCTGGCACTGCTGCCTGGCGCTGTTGTCTGGTGCTGGCCAAGTGCTGTTGTCTGGTGCTGCCAAGTGCTGTTGTCTGGTGCTGGCCAAGTGCTGTTGTCTGGCACTGCTGGCTGGCGCTGTTGCCCAAGTGCTGTTGTCTGGCACTGCTGGCCAAGTGCTGTTGTCTGGTGCTGGCCAAGTGCTGTTGTTGGGTGCTGGCCCAGCGCTGTTGTCTGGTGCTGACCAAGTGCTGTTGTCTGTGCTGGCACTGCTGCCTGGTGCTGCCCAGGGCTGTTGTCTGGTGCTGTTGCCTGGCACTGCTGCCTGGCGCTGTTGCCTGGTGCTGCTGCCTGGCGCTGTTGCCTGGCACTGCTGCCTGGCGGCCTGGTGCTGTTGCCTGGCACTGGCCAGGTGCTGTTACCTGGTGCTGCTGCCTGGCACTGGCCAGGTGCTGTTACCTGGTGCTGCTGCCTGGTGCTGCTGCCTGGTGCTGTTGCCTGGCACTGGCCAGGTGTTGTTGCCTGGCACTGGCCAGGTGTTGTCGTCTGGTGCTGACCCAATGCTGGCCAAGTGCTGTCGTCTGGTGCTGACCAAGTGCTGTTGTCTGGTGCTGGCCAAGTGCTGTTGTCTGGTGCTGGCCAAGTGCTGTTGTCTGGTGCTGGCCAAGTGCTGTTGTCTGGTGCTGGCCAAGTGCTGTTGTCTGGTGCTGGCCAAGTGCTGTTGTCTGGTGCTGGCCAAGTGCTGTTGTCTGGTGCTGACCAAGTGCTGTTGTCTGGTGCTGGCCAAGTGCTGTTGTCTGGTGATGGCCAAGTGCTGTTGTCTGGTGCTGGCCAAGTGCTGTTGTCTGGTGGTGCTGGCCAAGTGCTGTTGTCTGGTGCTGGCCAAGTGCTGTTGTCTGGTGCTGGCCAAGTGCTGTTGTCTGGTGCTGGCCAAGTGCTGTTGTCTGGTGCTGGCCAAGTGCTGTTGTCTGGTGCTGGCCAAGTGCTGTTGTCTGGTGCTGGCCAAGTGCTGTTGTCTGGTGCTGGCCAAGTGCTGGCCAAGTGCTGTTGTCTGGTGCTGGCCAAGTGCTGTTGTCTGGTGCTGGCCAAGTGCTGTTGTCTGGTGCTGGCCAAGTGCTGTTGTCTGGTGCTGGCCAAGTGCTGTTGTCTGGTGCTGGCCAAGTGCTGTTGTCTGGTGCTGGCCAAGTGCTGTTGTCTGGTGCTGGCCAAGTGCTGTTGTCTGGTGCTGGCCAAGTGCTGTTGTCTGGTGCTGGCCAAGTGCTGTTGTCTGGTGCTGGCCAAGTGCTGTTGTCTGTGCTGGCCAAGTGCTGTTGTCTGGTGCTGGCCAAGTGCTGTTGTCTGGTGCTGGCCAAGTGCTGTTGTCTGGTGCTGGCCAAGTGCTGTTGTCTGGTGCTGGCCAAGTGCTGTTGTCTGGTGCTGGCCAAGTGCTGTTGTCTGGTGCTGGCCAAGTGCTGTTGTCTGGTGCTGGGTCTGCTGGCCAAGTGCTGTTGTCTGGTGCTGGCCAAGTGCTGTTGTCTGGTGCTGGCCAAGTGCTGTTGTCTGGTGCTGGCCAAGTGCTGTTGTCTGGTGCTGGCCAAGTGCTGTTGTCTGGTGCTGGCCAAGTGCTGGCCAAGTGCTGTTGTCTGGTGCTGGCCAAGTGCTGTTGTCTGGTGCTGGCCAAGTGCTGTTGTCTGGTGCTGGCCAAGTGCTGTTGTCTGGTGCTGACCAAGTGCTGTTGTCTGGTGCTGGCCAAGTGCTGTTGTCTGGTGCTGGCCAAGTGCTGTTGTCTGGTGCTGGCCAAGTGCTGGCCAAGTGCTGTTGTCTGGTGCTGGCCAAGTGCTGTTGTCTGGTGCTGGCCAAGTGCTGTTGTCTGGTGCTGGCCAAGTGCTGTTGTCTGGTGCTGGCCAAGTGCTGTTGTCTGGTGCTGACCCAATGCTGGCCAAGTGCTGTTGTCTGGTGCTGGCCAAGGGCTGTTGTCAGGTGCTGGCCCAGGGCTGTTGTCTGGTGCTGACCAAGTGCTGTTGTCTGGTGCTGACCAAGTGCTGTCGTCTGGTGCTGGCCCAGGGCTGTTGTCAGGTGCTGGCCCAGGGCTGTTGTCAGGTGCTGGCCAAGTGCTGTTGTCTGGTGCTGACCAAGTGCTGTTGTCTGGTGCTGGCCAAGTGCTGTCGTCTGGTGCTGGCCCAGGGCTGTTGTCAGGTGCTGGCCCAGGGCTGTTGTCTGGTGCTGACCAAGTGCTGTTGTCTGGTGCTGACCAAGTGCTGTTGTCTGGTGCTGCCAAGTGCCAAGTGCTGTTGTCTGGTGCTGGCCAAGTGCTGTTGTCTGGTGCTGGCCAAGTGCTGTTGTCTGGTGCTGGCCAAGTGCTGCTGACCAAGTGCTGTTGCTGGTGCTGGCCAAGTGCTGGCCAAGTGCTGTTGTCTGGTGCTGGCCAAGTGCTGTTGTCTGGTGCTGCTGGCCAAGTGCTGTTGTCTGGTGCTGGCCAAGTGCTGTTGTCTGGTGCTGGCCAAGTGCTGTTGTCTGGTGCTGGCCAAGTGCTGTTGTCTGGTGATGGCCAAGTGCTGTTGTCTGGTGCTGGCCAAGTGCTGTTGTCTGGTGCTGGCCAAGTGCTGTTGTCTGGTGCTGGCCAAGTGCTGTCGTCTGGTGCTGGCCCAGTGCTGTCTGGTGCTGGCCAAGTGCTGGCCAAGTGCTGTTGTCTGGTGCTGGCCAAGTGCTGGCCAAGTGCTGTTGTCTGGTGCTGACCAAGTGCTGTTGTCTGGTGCTGGCCAAGTGCTGTTGTCTGGTGCTGGCCAAGTGCTGTTGTCTGGTGCTGACCAAGTGCTGTTGTCTGGTGCTGGCCAAGTGCTGTTGTCTGGTGCTGGCCAAGTGCTGTTGTCTGGTGCTGGCCAAGTGCTGTTGTCTGGTGCTGGCCAAGTGCTGTTGTCTGGTGCTGGCCAAGTGCTGTTGTCTGGTGCTGGCCAAGTGCTGTTGTCTGGTGCTGGCCAAGTGCTGTTGTCTGGTGCTGGACCAAGTGCTGTTGTCTGTGCTGACCCAATGCTGGCCAAGTGCTGTTGTCTGCTGACCCAATGCTGGCCAAGTGCTGTTGTCTGGTGCTGGCCAAGTGCTGTTGTCTGGTGCTGACCAAGTGCTGTTGTCTGATGCTGGCCAAGTGCTGTTGTCTGGTGCTGGCCCAGTGCTGTTGTCTGGTGCTGGCCAAGTGCTGTTGTCTGGTGCTGGCCAAGTGCTGTTGTCTGGTGCTGGCCAAGTGCTGTTGTCTGGTGCTGGCCAAGTGCTGTTGTCTGGTGCTGGCCAAGTGCTGTTGTCTGATGCTGGCCAAGTGCTGTTGTCTGATGCTGACCCAATGCTGGCCAAGTGCTGTTGTCTGGTGCTGGCCAAATGCTGTTGTCTGATGCTGACCCAATGCTGGCCAAGTGCTGTTGTCTGGTGCAGGCCAAGTGCTGGCCAAGTGCTGTTGTCTGGTGCTGGCCAAATGCTGTTGTCTGATGCTGACCCAATGCTGGCCAAGTGCTGTTGTCTGGTGCAGGCCAAGTGCTGGCCAAGTGCTGTTGTCTGGTGCTGGCCAAGTGCTGGCCAGGTGTAGTAGTCAAACAGGGCAACAGAAAGTTTGGCAGAGCAATAATTGGAAATGTTCCCTGCTGCACCAGAGTAAATTATCAACCAGCTCAGAATGTGCCAAGACCCTGGCCTGGCACCAGCAAGCTCTTGTCTAAGGGAAAGATGGAGTGCCATAGCTCACAATGACTCCATCTGATTTAACAAAACGACAAAAAGAGAGCTGGGCCTTTCTTGGAGCCCAGCTAGTTTAGGGTATACTCACTAAAGGAGTACTTGATATGTATTAATATACTATATATGGATAGTGAAGCTGACTTGTGTAAGTTGGCCAAGAGGTTTTAGAGTCATTAAGGTGGATAAGAGACATTATAGGCATATCTTTTGTCATGTTGGAAGGACATGGTACTGGGAATATGTTTATTGTATTGGAATGTGTTGTATAATAATTCAAAAGTACTGAATGTTTTTGTAATAGACTTTGAATTGTCTATCACAAAACAACAACCACCACTAGACTAAGACGAAAGCAACGTACAGTAATAGCATTCTATCATTAGCAATAGCCTAATTAACAATCTATTAGTTATTTGAGTACGAGTGTAATGTTATATACAAGGATTTAATATTGTATGTTGTAAAACAGGAAACCAGTGAAAGTACTGTATTATTGTTCAGTACTATAATGCATATAGTTCGTCATTTATACCTTTATAACCACTGTTCTGATACATCATTGTACTCATTTAATCATCACATATTTGTTTACTTGGTATGAGTGATATTACACATTTTTTAAGTCTAATATGGAACTAAAATAAGTCCAAAATTGCCGAGACCCACATGGAACCACTCAACCACAGGGGCAGTACCATGTGGCTCTTGGACACCTTGGACCTTTGCTCAAGTGCCACATTACTCGTAAAAAAATTGTATTTGCCGTTTCACGCCATTGTGAGATTCAGTATGATTGATATTTTTAGCATAAATATTTTCTTTTGTTTGGCAGGTCCCCCATCAGTGCACTCGCCTCACCTGGTGCACAGTGGTGGTAAAGTAACAATAACAACATCAGGTGCGCTACAGCCTGTAGTTAGAGCGCCATCTATAGAGTCTCTATCTAGTCACGAACAACACACACGTGCAGTTGTCTCGCCACACCCACGAGAAGGTTAGATGCCCATCGACATCTTGTGTATCCGTGTCTCCTCCACTCTAGATCCTCAATGAATTTAATGCTGCTATAGCAGCTGAAGGAATTATCAATAATTAGTTCACTGGATTAGTGAGTTGGCCAGCTAACCCTGGATGCCTATACAATATAGAGGCACTATCTTGAAAGATTTGTTTGGCTATATTTTAGCCTCCTCTCTCTCCTTTAACACGGTTTTTGGTTACAACGACATTCCAGCGCCACGTAGTGGGCTGTCACACCTTCTCAAACTTGACATCATCTTACGACCACTGGCATATCTCATTTCTCACAATGTTCATGCTCTCCTCCTGCTTCTAGTCACTTTGCTATTTCTCACATGAAACAGAATATTCACTTTCATTTAGCATCAACTGGAGACAACTGCATCACTTGTGTGATAGCTAAACTAATATGGATATTATGTTTTATTTAAGTGTGCAAAATGTTGCTATAGTGTTATGTGTAACATTTTGATATGTAGATTCACTATACTGTATATGTTTACTGTATATGTTTACTGTATATGTTTACTGTATATGTTTACTGTATATGCACTAAGTGTTTGGAGAAGATCCTGCATGGCACCCTACTTTAAAAAGTGGGAAGTTATTTATTTTCAGTAGATATAGATAGTGTATTCATGCTTTTAATAGCACCAAATATGTAAAGTGTCGTAATGTCTCTGGAAGAACAACCATTAACAGTTGCGAACAAAGCAAACTTTAACATGGAATGGCACATGCCTTGTTTTACATTAAACAAAAATGTATGGAATGTTTTAGAAAACTTAATGAATAATTGGTGTGTATAAACTAGTTTATGTACATATGAATGCATAATTGACTGAGTATATGTATTTGTTTTAGGAGCTATTGCATTTTGGTTGCCTTCTTATGTAAGACTTTGCTTATATCCACTGAACATGTCCCTGTTCGGGCTACATATTTTACAGTCTCCGTGGTGTAGTGGTAAGACACTCGCCTGGCGTTCCGCGAGCGCTATGTCATGGGTTCGTATCCTGGCCGGGGAGGATTTACTGGGCGCAATTCCTTAACTGTAGCCTCTGTTTAACGCAACAGTAAAATGTGTACTTGGATGAAAAAACGATTCTTCGCGGCAGGGGATCGTATTCCAGGGACCATAGGATTAAGGACTTGCCCGAAACGCTACGCGTACTAGTGGCTGTACAAGAATGTAACAACTCTTGTATATATCTCAAAAAAAAAAAAAAATAAAAAATAATTCATGACAATCAGACAGGAGTACATAGGGAAATTCTCAAGCAGTCTCAGCAGGGTCATTATATGTGCCAGAGAGTCACTCAAGATAATCTCATCACAGCCCAGAATGACTAAGTGAGGTCAGGCTGTGTAAACATTTTCCCTTGGGCATCACTGCAACCACACCCATCAACAAATTAACAGACCCTACAGAAAAGACGAGCAGCTGACAGAACCCATATCCCCAAATTCATAGAAGATCCCGACACCTAGAAAGTTGGCAAACAACCAGGAACTAAGCCACGAAGAAGGCACACAACTAAACCCTTCCCCATCCCCCAGCACAGTGACAACTGAGGGCAAAGAGTAATGATAGTGAAACAAAAAAGGCAGTCAAGGAGAGCACAGGAAAGTTCATCAAGACAAACCCCGAATGAACATACTGCAAGAGGGCCAGGTACCATCCCGGCAAGAAGGCCAGGTACCATCCCTGCAAGAAGGCCAGGTACCATCCCTGCAAGAAGGCCAGGTACCATCCCTGCAAGAGGGCCAGGTACCATCCCTGCAAGAGGGCCAGGTACCATCCCTGCAAGAGGGCCAGGTACCGTCCCTGCAAGAGGGCCAGGTACCATCCCTGCAAGAGGGCCAGGTACCATCCCTGCAAGAGGGCCAGGTACCATCCCGGCAAGAAGGCCAGGTACCATCCCTGCAAGAGGGCCAGGTACCATCCCTGCAAGAGGGCCAGGTACCATCCCTGCAAGAGAGCCAGGTACCATCCCTGCAAGAGGGCCAAGTACCATCCCTGCAAGAGGGCCAGGTACCATCCATGCAAGAGGGCCAGGTACCATCCCTGCAAGAGGGCCAGGTACCATCCCTGCAAGAGGGCCAGGTACCATCCCTGCAAGAGGGCCAGGTACCGTCCCTGCAAGAGGGCCAGGTACCGTCCCTGCAAGAGGGCCAGGTACCGTCCCTGCAAGAGGGCCAGGTACCATCCCTGCAAGAAGGCCAGGTACCATCCCTGCAAGAAGGCCAGGTACCATCCCTGCAAGAGGGCCAGGTACCATCCCGGCAAGAAGGCCAGGTACCATCCCTGCCAGAAGGCCAGGTACCATCCCTGCAAGAGGGCCAGGTACCATCCCAGCAAGAAGGCCAGGTACCATCCCTGCAAGAGGGCCAGGTACCATCCCAGCAAGAGGGCCAGGTACCATCCCAGCAAGAAGGCCAGGTACCATCCCTGCAAGAGGGCCAGATACCATCCCTGCAAGAAGGCCGGGTACCATCCCTGCAAGAAGGCCGGGTACCATCCCTGCAAGAGGGCCAGGTACCATCCTGGCAAGAAGGCCGGGTACCATCCCTGCAAGAGGTCCAGGTACCATCCCGGCAAGAAGGCCGGGTACCATCCCTGCAAGAGGTCCAGGTACCATCCCGGCAAGAAGGCCGGGTACCATCCCTGCAAGAGGGCCAGGTACCATCCCGGCAAGAAGGCCGGGTACCATCCCTGCAAGAAGACAGACAAAATAGACAGAGAGGCTCTCTGTAGAACACACCCTACAGCAGGGTGGGAGCCCCTAAGGCCTCCAGAAGCCCAGAAATTTGAAATGCCGAACAAAAATTGCAATACTGTATTCTTGTGCAAGAGGTCAAGCTAAACCTCTCCTCACCATGCCAATGGTAGCATACAGTTGGGTGCAAACAACAAGGGCACCAACATAGCCTAACAGCCAAGCACCACACAGAAAGCCCACTTTGAACTTCAGTCAGTGAACACCATGCAGAAAACAGTGCCAGAAGCACTGCACATGGAAAGAAGAGGCAGGATCCTAAAATAGTGAGCAATGGCAGCTGAAGGACCAATGAGCTCAATGAAGCCCACCCCACAACACTTACAAGAAGGGTGTAACTGGAGACAATCTTGCCTGCTATACCAGAAACTGCAGCCAAAATTACAGGCCCGCATCACAGTCAACAAAAATATCTGCAAGGACCAAACACCCCACAACAGTGATCCAATGGCAAACCCTTAGCCTCACTGCAAAATGAGAAACATAAGCCAAAGCAGTGAATCAGGCACTGCCACAGACCCTTGAATGGACCAAGCTAAGGGGAAAATGAGGCACACAAGAGACCTAGAATGGCAGGAGACATGAAAAAAAGAAAAGAATCGAAGTAGGGCAACTACTGCTAGCCATGGGATGGCCTGGACCTTGAAACCTCAACCAGGAAGAAGACCTGGACTCAAAGGCGAGGCCTCAGAAGCCAAGCAGGAGCTGAAACAAGTCCAATGCCACATCCAGAGAAAACAAGAAGACGTGCTCACAAAAACAGGTGACCTCAAGGAGTTTACAACCCCCTGGAAAAGACACTAAATGTCAGCAAACTCAGAAGGGAGCATAAAAATCTTCCCTGGGAAGGACCTGTGAGGAAACTAGCAGCACCCACCATGGAACAAACTTCAGGAAGGCTGGGCACCAGGAAATCCAGGAAATGTACTTGAAACTCATACCAACCCATTACCTAATCAAATCAGGTGAAGGAACTCATAAGCTGCCACCAGAATATGAGCCGGTGATGAACCTGCAGCGCACCCGAAGAAGTAAACGCTGTCAGCCCGAACCACCAGGCCCTGCAGAGGAGCCTAAGCACATGCACTATCCAGGCCAAGACCCCTCAAGACTGACTCCCTCCCTGACTAGAACAAGGGCAATATTAGTGGTAACCATAGAAGCAACTCTGGCTGCATGCAGCCAAAGAAAAATAAGTGACTGAGGCACACACAACAGGTCGGCACAAAAACACATGTGAGGCAATAAATAACTTAAAAAAAAAAAAAAAAAAAACTTGCCCCTGCACAGGACAGAGTCCAAGGAGCCATCATTATGACCATCACTTAACTAAATGATGGTGCCTGCACTGCTTGGAGGTACCAGGAGACCCACACCAAAGTTCACAATGTGTAATGTCCCTGGTCTCTTGGGTTGCTGGCGTTGCATCTAGTGGCGAGGCTATGACGCTAACTTGCGGTTGGAAACTGACAATGTGTACATACTGTACCCTCAAAGCTTGCTTATCTGAACTGCATGGGAAGGACCCCCTGCTGGATAAGCAGAATTCTTACAGGGGAAGTCCAAAAATGACCATATTCACTTTTTTTGTACCACAACCAACATAATTCTTATTTCTACACACACACACTATAAATACAAAATATAATTTAAAAGAGAAACTTCAGCTTACCTTGTTGTAGTTTGTATTCCTGTGTGATATTTGTAGATCTTGAAATATGTAGTTCTTAAAAATTTACGTAACCTAATCTCCGATTATCCAAATTTCTGTTCGGATATGGCGAAGTTTGGCAGATAATTATTTGAACCCGATTTTGGCCGGATAACCAAAATATTCGGTTTAGCGGGCTTTGGATAACCCAGTTCATACAGTAGTTTGAATCAGGATTGTAAGTGTTGCTCTAGCAGTTGCTTGTTTATTGAGCTTTACCTTTCTCAAGGTTTTTCCCTTAGTAATGTGGTTGATCTAGTATCCCCACTCCCCCTATGAATTTATTGAGATCAGATTCTGGTCCTGGCCTCCAGAAGGTACTCAGGATTTTTTAGAGTCTGGTGTGATACCTGGGTTTTGGAGGACTCCAGGTGGGTAGCCCAGGGAGATACAAAGATAACCCTTGCAGAAATAAGTGTACTGTACTGAGAAGGTTCCGTCTTGGCTAGCTTTTGATCAGCAGTGAGGGTCGATCAACGTCTC